TTCAAATTTAAGAGAGATTTCTCTAGAAGATCGCTCAGATACATCAGAAATCATCCGGAGGTAGCTTTTGGATTTAGATTTTTAATATTTAGTTTGAAAGATCATAGTGTGTATATATAAAATCCAAAATATTAGGATCCAATGTCAATATAGTTGTGGAGAAATATCGAACACAAATGGACCACCCTCATGAAACTCATTAAAACTTGCTATTTTTTTTTTCGGTTTTTCTTGTTCTGTCTATCTCTTTGCGAAAACTTGTCGAAATATATAAGTTCTATATACCATTCGATAGCGCGGAATCTACTCTACAAAATCTTATAGATAATCCTGTTCGATTGTTCTATCATTAAATGAAAAAAAATCAAAATACAGAAATTTGCTACAAATTTTTAAACGAATTGTTTAGATATTTAGGTTAAAAGGTCACTATTTCCCAACCAGCCCAGAAAAAGAAGATCATATTATGAAAGTCCGTCAAAAACTACATCTTTTAATATATAAACCAAAGGAAAGAAAACACGGCCCGATTCAACAAGTTTTCAATACAAAGACGGCTACTACACACTTTCTATTCGACAAAATCACTATTTTAAAAACATTTGGCTCACTTTAGCTTGGCTAAACATGCTAAAATATGAAGATCAATATCATATTCAGTGTTAAGTGTCAAAAACTGACTCGAAAAAAGTTATTAGATTAGATTTAGAGTAAATAAGGTTTAAAAAAATTCGTGTTCTCTATCTTTTGGTATATTACAGTAAACATTTCGTTAATTTTTTGTTATCTTAAAAAATCTGCCTTTATATAGATAATTTTTGATGGTACTCTCCAAATATTTCCGTAGGTGTTCGACAGTAAAATTGGCCTAACTTTTCATCAGCTCAACCAAATGCGCTAAAAATTTGGATTTAGAAGTTTTAGATTTAGCTGAACAAAATGAGAACATGAAATCAAAAATTAAAATTTTGACGAGTGCTTCGATTTCTCGATGGTCTCATGGGTGCTCTCTCTTAAAAGTTGTAACTCAAAAAACAACGAAAGAGATTTCTTCATGAGATGAATTGAATTAATTAATTAATTAATTAAGATTATAGTCGATTAATGCTTGTTGCTGAATGTTTAACATCACTATTATTTCCATTTGAATGGACACTTTATGTTCCAATTGTCTTCACTGCTGCTCTTGTTTGTCTTGATGTACCTGTATCTGCTATAATGGGTCTTCGTATAAATAAATTCAATAGAAATTCCGATAATAATAATACTGATGATGATGATGGTTATAGTGATACAAGTGATGAAGCAACTTTTGAAGTTCAACGATGTTTTATTCATATTGATACAGAAAGTATTCAATTCAATTATCTGATGATATGCCACATTTTTCTAATCCATCTTGTTTTATTAATGAATTAAACGAAATTTTATCTCGATTTAATGATTATCTTAATAGTGAATTATCAATAAATTATCTCAAAAATAAATGAAGAATTCAAAATAGTAAATATTGGACACATTTTGATAATCAACATATAACAATAGAAATAAATAATAAACCAAGTCAAGCATTATCGAGACTTGCAGCTATTACTAAACGTGCTGGAATTGTTGTTAATAATAATGAAGATGAAAATAGATTATTTCAAATATTTTATTCTTTTTTATAAAATAAAAATAAAATTTATTTGTTTTTAGACTATTATCTTTATTTAATCAATATGAATTATGTCAAATCTGTGCAAATAATTGTTTACATGCATCATTTGTAAATCGTTTTGCTCAATTATTTTGTTAAATGGATGCATATATATGTTATCTACCATCGAGCAAATATTCAAATATTGATCAATGGTTAGCACAACTATATACAAGAAAAAATTTTCAACGTACAATATTTATTGCTGATCAACCAAAGCTACATGTGCCTTTTTTACTTGCATTTATGGAAATACAATCATTTATTTCATTTGTTGATAGTAAAATAACTTCAAGATTTAATCAAGATAATCATTTTTTTGGTTTAAAACATAAACATTCACAAGTTAGATTTTAATATGATTATTTTAAATTAATTTATTTTTGAATTTTTTTCTGATCGCATCCGTTTATATCGAAATCGCCGTGATTTAACTTATCAAGCATATCCATCTATTGATTTAATCGATAAAGAAACTCGTTGTCGTTTTACTTCACCTTTTCCTTCTTCATTAATTCTGATGAATGCACCTTCACTTCGTCTACTTGATAATTCTATTTCAACATCTAAATATTGTTATCTGTTTGAAAATCTTAACGGAACTTTACTGGAATCATCATCATCATCATCATCATCATCATCATCATCATCATCATCGATAATTAATATATCTTTACCTGTATCTAGTGGAACTCCAAAAAGAAATTCTCGTTTAACTTAATCATTTCAATCAAAACATCTAGCACGACGTGTTATCAGATTTAAAAAACAACAAACAGTTGCTGCTAGCGAATACCAACAACATGTTGTGCTTGTTCAAAATGAAGTTGTTTTCCAACAATTACTTAAAGAATGTATTACTAAGGTAAATACAAAACAAAAATCATTTAAAATATTAATTTGGATTTCATTTGTTAAGACAAAACGAATAGTGATTGAAAAAATGGAAGATATTGTTGAAGGTTCATCATCAAGAAAAAATACTGATTCATCATCAATGGTTAATTTAGAAAAAATGTGTTAATTGGAAAATTTTTGTGATTTGAACGTATTTGGTCTGATGGTCTTCATCATAAATCAAATGGAAAATTTACTTTACGGAATCATATTAAATGTTATATTAAACTTAAAAACTATGAATTAGCCCAAAGATCTCATGTTGGTCTTCCAGTAATACTTAATAAAGATGAAAATCCAGGTGAAGTTATTAGATATTTTTTGTAATAATCTAACAGAATTTTTTGTAGCTTTAGTCTGACGTTTAATAAGAAAGCAACTAGTAAATCGTAGTGCATCGAGTAGTCGATCAGAATCTTCCAGTGGTGATCGTATATCAAATAAATTTGATAATGAAACGACTCTACTATTACAGCAAAAATGGTGAATCAATTGCACCACCTAGTACAGCAGCTGTATGTATATGTGTCTTTCACTTATTTCCTTACTTTTTTAAAAAAAATGTGCATTAATGAAGAAGTAAGCGGTTAAGAGTTAGAAGTGTTCTTGATATTCCTCAGGAATGTTTAAAATCAAAATCTTGTCATTATACAATCATGAAATGAATATTAATTTTGATGTTTTCCTATTTCATCGATGAAATAGAAAAAAAATAAAAATTAATGTCCATTTCATCATCAGAAATACCATTTTTTTAATGCTTTTGAAATTAATTCTTCTGTATCCTTGTAGCAATGTCGGGTTATTTCAAGTACAATTACTGGTCAAATTTACAACACCATGGGTGATGGATGGCAAGGTAATGAAATATATATTATATCTATTCATTGTTAACAATTTCGAATTTCGTAGAATTAGCAGATACATTGCATCAATTGGCAGTAGCTCATGGTGCCGTCAGTAAAATCGAATTGGATGATCCACGTGTCGGTGATGTTTGGCTCGATTTTTTTATTGGGTAAGATTTTTTACCTATTGATAATTTTTAAACTATTATTTTTAGATATGATGATGCTGGTGGTGCTAAAAAATTCGTTAAACAACTTGAAGCTTTAAATAAACTTCAACCATTAAGTCATATTCGTGTGATCGACTATACTCCACGACCATATCCTCAACCACAACCAATTGTTTGATTCTTAAATTTTTGGTTTTCGTCATTATGTATTGGAACTATGGGTGTCAGTTTCGGGTTCCGTTCCTAGGAACGGGAACCCACTTGGTTATTCATTTCTGTGCATTTTTGAACATACTGGAGTGCTTATACATACTTTTTATTTCGTTTTGACACGAGTCACTCCGGGTTCCCGGGAACGGGAACTCGTACAGGGTTCCGGGTTCCTAGGAACGGGAACCCGGTTAAAAATTCATTTCTGTGCATTTTTGAACACACTAGAGTTCATAGACATACTTTTTCTTTCGTTTTGAGACAAGTCTCTCTGGGTTCCCAGAAACGAGAACCCACACCGGGTTCCCAAAAACTGGGAACCCTATCTAAACTTCTATTTTAAACGATTTGCAACAGGGTTCTTCATTCTTAGGAATCCGGTGCGGGTTCCCGTTCCTAGGAATCCGGTGCGGGTTC